TTTGGAGAGGTTTTCGCTATAGGGCACGTGCGCTCGCCAGACAGACAGAGACATAGAGACAGAAAGCGAGAAATCACCCCCTAGGGGGGATGGTCACGCCGCAATCCCTTCTCCTCCATTCTCCTCTCGGGATCTTGGGCACACACGCACACGTGCCCGGCGTGAGTTTTAAGCCACCAGGTCTGGGACGAGAACCGTGGTCGACTACGTGGGAGTCCAGCGACATAGCCATTACGCTAACTGCTGGTTCCCTAGAATAATATTTGAAATAACAATGACAACGATGACAATAAACCTCCTATTCCCTTTATAAAAAGAGAATATTTTCATAGCCCATTACCTGATTGTTAAACAAAACTACTGTCCTTTTGTATAACCATTTTACAAATTCAATATTCGTGGAAATAGAAGAAATAATTGAAAAACCAAACATAACTACTGTGTGCAGATGTGGTGGAAAAACCAGAGAGCCAAAATATGGCAAAATCAGTGCTTCATAAACAGTCAATGGATTTTTCTAAAAATACTTTTTGCTAATGGCAAAGTTCAACACCTCAGAAAAACTCTGAATTAAGATCTTAGAATAAGTTTCCAAGCTGTACAACATAGTTTTAAATACACTACCCTTGTTGTTTGTAAGGCTTCATTGAAGTTTAGCTTAACAGTCATAAGCCATGTGTTTGAACATCTTGTGAGAGGTCACTAGCAAAGAAAACAAATTTTTTCCTTGTTCACCCCACTACTTATCTGAAGAGATACCATTGCTTTTTAAATTGTTCCTTAAAAATGTTTCTGGAACATTTAACTTTGAAAAAAAAATTCAGATTTGCTTCATTAAATCATCATTTAGACTTTACAAAGTGACAATGTAGCAATTTGAATTATTGTGTTAATCTGTAACTATTCTGATATGTTATAGTTTAATAAACAAATATACTAAGTGTTGCACACTCTCTGCTGTAGCTCTGGTACATAGGAAATTGGGAGAGCTATAGAGTAATAGCATCATCTTCCTAACATACATACATTTTCCAAAGCCAGAATATCCCATGTGCTTTTGATATAACTAGGGGACCTAAATGCACCGCAGACCCCTTAACACCTTGACTTGATAGTTCTTCACGAGAAATTGAGTACATCTTGGGTGAAGAGTAATAGAAAAGAGGAGGCTGAAGAGTTGGGATTTTGTTATATCTTCTTGCCTAATAGAGTCATCTTCAAGAGAATAACTTGACACTCAACCAGGGTGTATATTTGGGTTGCAGGATAACAATGAATGAGAGGTTAGTCCTCTTTTCCACTTGTCTGGCAAGATCCCTTGGCAAATATGGGGTAGGTATTTGCCAAGTGGCTCCTGAACAAGGTCTCTTTAGGGGAATACAACAAGGCTGCAGTCATTTCTTCTCATAAAGTGTTTTGGGATCCTTCAGGAAAGAGGACTAGAGGAGTATTATTACTAACTGGCTTCGATGTTCAAACCAAATGGAACCATTTTCTCTCATGTAATTATTGCTTCAAGCATTAGTGAATGTTCTTAAGATGAAATGGATCTCATCTTTAAGTACCCATTTCTTAAAGTACTAATTCCCTAGTGAATGTTTTTAATTACTGTGTCCCAAGTACCCTCACCAAGTAAGACGATGTCATAGCCTGATCAGTGTTTATCAAGCATATACATCTGTGATGTGCATTTTCCAAATTGTCCTTCCTCCCTCACAAATAGATAGCAAGAGTGAAATTAAAGGTGTCTAGCTCAATATGCATGTCTGCCTAATGAGAAGGCTCCTGTCTCTTCTAAGACATCAGTGAGAAGATGTATGATGAATGTATAGCTACTTTCTTTGATCACACTGTGAGCTCCTTGTGGCCTAGGAATCTGTTTGACACCTAATTCTTTGGTTTTCTGTGGGACTTAGAATGGAGATAGACATATGGAAGGGCGTCAGTCAATGAGTCTTGAGGATTTTTACCAATAACGACAGATGGATAATATAGATAAAAATAAAGCATGTTAGAAAATCCCTGGAAAAGAAGACCCAGGGCAAGAAAATTTCCACCAGGGGCTCTCCGATTGGACTTCAAATGAAAGACACAAGTCCATCATATTCCAAATGAAATAAAACAAAGATAGTAAAAATTAAACAAAAAATCCTTAGACATTATAATGTACCTATAATTAGAAGATTGACAGGATGAATAAAGGACTATGAATTAGAAAACACAACAATCTCTCACAAGAACATCATATTAGTTTAAACTGGGCTCACAAAGTATTGGGAAGTGGAGGAGTTCTATCTGAACAGTTAATTATTGAAGATGTAACACGTCCACTTTTGTATAGGAATAGTGCTGGGAAAATGCATTTTTTTAAGAGATTTTTTTTTTTTTTTTGCCTTACGGCACTTGTGCCCTGAGAGAGACAGACAGAGTCAATGAGAAGAAAAGTGAGAAATCACCCTGGGGGTGGGGGAGTTGCCATCCCTTCTCCTCCTGGGATCTTGGGATGGCCATCCCTTCTTTTCCTGGGATCTTAGACATAGATGCACATGTGCCTGGTGTGATTTTCATGCCACTGGGTTTGAGACTCGAACTGCGGTTGGTCATGTGGGAATCCAGCAACTGAACTGCTATGCTATCTGCTGGCCCCTGGAAAATGTATTTTCAAGTGAGTTAAGTATGTCAGTTGAAATCTACTGTTCATTATTCATTTAATGAGCATGCCTCTCTTTCTCGCAGAAGATGAAAAAATAACCCTGTGTCCTCAATATAAATTATTGGTTTGAAATTAATCTAATTTTGGCCCAGTATGCCAGAACTTGTTGACCAAATGAGGGATCAGAAGGGTGCATGTTTCTGCCTTTGCTGCTTGTTGAATAATTCCTATCTAATTTTCAGTTGGGAACTTCCTCTCACGTCACCAGAATGGTCAGGATCAGAGAATTGCTGGGTTTCTTAGTTCTTGATAATTCTAGCACCTCATCTCACAGATTTATTCAACATTTACAATTTGTCTTATAACTAGAAATAAGTAGAAACTGATTGCAGATAACTTTGTCATTTATGTTACTAATTAAGAATAGAATAATTTGAAATGCCATCTTCTCAAATTTGCTTTTCAGTTAATTAACTTAGATATCTACTACGTGAAATTTTTATTTCCTAAAACAAGGTGCTCTGTGATCTTGGAAACTTGTTAGGTATAGGTTAAGCAGAAGACTTGAATTTGGAATTGGAAATAGATAAATGATTTGCAAAATAGGTAAGTAGTCCATAGGCAATCAAGAGTTGACTAAGTTTGTACTAGCTAGCAAAGGGCTACCTGTTTAAAGAAAATAGTTTTGGTTTTCATCCCTAACTCTGAGACTAAACCAGCTTTGTGACCTTGTGCAAGTCACTGAATCTCTCTGGTCTTCATTTTCCTTCTGTAAATATAAAGATTTAGACAAATTTTATGGTCCCTTCTAGTTTTAACACTCTCTAGCCTTCCATACATCTAGAACTGACTTAGACAGAAGAAAACTGTATTTTAAAATTCTCTTAGGCATAGAAAAGGAGCTGTAGTGATTCAGATCAAGATTCTTTGGGGGGTTCGTTGAGTATAAAATCTCTTAAAAAAATAAAGACTGAGCTCCAGGCTTTAGTTTTCTAATGACCATAGGCCATGAGCCAAAGCTGTACCTTTCCAGCAGGGTAATTATTTATGTTTAAATCAAATGTTTTAAAAATGGAAGGGATCAGAATAACATTGTGAACAGGGGACTTTATATGAACTCCCATGAGGAAGAATGGTAGAACTGTGAGGATAGGGATAGGGCCATAAAGAGCAATATTTAACTGAAATGCCTGTGAAGCAGAAAAGGACCATTTAGAATGTCAGTGAACTGAATGGATCTTGGCTCTAGGAGATGAGAAGACTCATGCCTTTTCTGAACACGCGGTATGATTTCTCTTTGATTGGGTTTCTCATTTGGGAGAAATTCAGGTAGGAGGCAGCGAAACCAAAGCAGGATTTCCAAGAGTTTTTGAGCTCATCTTTGGAATAAAACACTGGCAGGGGATTTGAAGAAATGATTTTCCCCAAGGCCATTGGGTAGATGATCTCAGGGCAAAACTGACTCCTGGAGGGGTAGACTGAAGAGGGGAAGGCAGCCATCCTGGCCCTGGACAATCAGTTCCTTGACCTCTGATATGCCTTTAGTGGATGTCCTGTGGGGCAGTGAGGAGTCCATTACTGCTTGACTATATCTGCAAGGCACTTTCTTGTTCAATGACAATCTCATCACTTAAGAATCTGGAGCAGATCCACTACGATTTTCAGAGACACCGTCCCCATAGACTTACTTTGTTTATCTTAGAATTGTAAAGGAAATAGATTTTTGCTTATATCTCCTTCCTCCCTTTATCTTGTCTATAACTTAGACTTTCACTTAATTAAGCCAACTCCTAGCACCCTGGAAAAATTTCCAGACTGTTTTCAACACTTGAACATAAGCTGAATGCGCAGGAAGGGTTGCTTCCTGCCCTATTCTGTCTTTACAAGAAAACAAGTGTCCTCATTTTTGCTTCTGGTGGTCTTCATACAGAGCTCAGACAAGGAAAGTCCTGTCTGAAGCCTACTTAGACAAGTGCTGAAGGAGAAAATGAGTTCTGAGAAATCTATAGTTGGAAAGACTTGTTTTAGCAGACTGGGAAACCAGGACAAGTCCAACTCACCTCGGTGTGCTACATAATATAACCTGGACCTCTGCCAGATACTCTTCTAAAGGTTTGGGAAAACAATGCCAATCTTATTTTATTTATGGAACTCCTGTTCATCAATCACAAATCCCTAAAAGAGCCTTAAACCCAGGTGTGAGGTTACAGAGCCAGGTGTAGAACTGAGGGTGCCTCTGGGCTGGCCCACCTCAGCCACAGGTGCTACTAACAGCGTGGCAAGTTTGAATCAGAGTCCCTGTTGATACAAGAGCTTCTCATGCCCTTTCTAGGCAGCACTGGGAAAGACACTGGCAAGTCCGGCCTCTACGCCCCTTTACCTCTGATAAAGAGGGCCTTGAATCTGCCATATGTGGATGTGTAACATTCAAAACGTTTGAATACGGGCGAGTACACTGTGGGGCAGGCTGTGGGTAGACGCTGTGAAATGCAGGGCCTAATGGTGGAACGGCGCGGTGGCGACTCCCTAAAGCATGCTGCTGAGTATTTCTGACACCGGGGTGGTGGCGGGGCTCTCAGGGCTCGTCTCCAGGCCGGTGGGGCTGGGCAGGTCTGGGTGGCCTACTGGTGGTGGGCTCAAGCTGCCCCATGGCTTTGCGTCCTGGCTCACCAGGGCCACGGGGTAGGACTCCACGTAGATGCGGTGGACTGAAGGCCTCGCGTCCAGGAGGCTGCTCTTCCTCTCTTCAGGGAGGCTGGCGGCGTGGGATAGAGCCAGACCCCGGGGCCCATCGAGGGCAGGTTCTGGCCGCTCGGCCTCTCCGGACCCCTGGGCCAGGCCGCAGGCCCGCGACAGATGCTGCGTGTAAACGCCATCGGAGAGCGACAGAGACTGCGTCTCGCTGTGCATGCGCAGCCAGCGGTGGTGGCGACTGAAGCCGCCGTAGTGCTGGTGCTTGCCCGGCTTCCGTTTTCCCAGAAAGCCCAGCGGGGGCCGCGCGCCGGGTGCCATCTTGGTGTGGTTCTTGGGCGCGAAGTCGGTGAGGGTCAGGCTGTGGAGGAACTCCGCACACGACTGTTCGCGATCTGGGCCCTGGACCCGGCCTTGGGCATCCTGACCTGGCCCTGCTGCGCTCTTCACGTCGTGCACCTGTAGGACATCGGGAGCGCTGCCGCACAGGCCGCTTAGGGCCTGCTGAGCGATGTCGTGGGATGACAGGTAGACCAGGTCCAGGTCTCTGGGACTCAGGGCGTCACTGGAGTCGTAGTCACTGTCAGTGGGGAGGAAGACTTCAGAGCAGCCTTCCTCATCGGAGCAGGGCTGTGAGTCTGCGAAGTCAGAGGGTAAAGTTAGCAAAAAAGGTAAACTTAGGGGCTAGCAGGTGGCATCGTGGTTAAGGGGCTGGATCCCACGTGACCAACTCCTTATTGGAGTCCTGGAAACACACAGGGCACATGCATGTGTGACCAAAATCCCTGGAGGAGAAGAGACTGCTATATGGCCATGCCCCCTGGGCTGATTTCTCTCTCTCTCTCTCATTCTTTCTGTCTCCTGGCAAATGCATTCGTCATAAGGCATAAATATCTAAAAACAAAAAATAAAAATGTATACTTTTAGCTGGGGTCTGCTTTATGGGCTAGATCTGTGCCCTGTGCTTTGTTTAATGTCTTCTGTCATATCTTTAATTTTTAATAATTTTGAACAAGGTCCTCCACATTTATTTTGCATAGGGCCTTACAAATTATGCCATGTGGTCCTAGCTTAAGGGAAATGAAGAGGAACATAAGCAGGTCCTATCCAGAAAGAAGTAGAAGGACATTCCCTCATTTCCCACACATTTTTATTATTTTTCCTATGATAAAACAGGAAAATGGATATTATTAATTGATCTATTCTCTATTTTTATTTCAGAGATGATTGTTGTGTTTGACAAAGTAGGAATTAAAAAATAATAAAATAAAAAGAAACTACTTTATCACTTTCTGTTTTCAAGATGCTCTCTATATTCAATGAATCTTTGAAGTATAAAAATATTAAATTTATCATAAGTCAGTACTTTCAGAAGAATTCAATGTGTACTCACTTCTTAAATATTTACAATTGACTTGGGACCAGCAGTTAGCGTAATGGCTATATCGCTGGACTCCCCCATGTGGTCCTAGCTTAAGGGAAATGAAGAGGAACATAAGCAGGTCCTATCCAGAAAGAAGTAGAAGGACATTCCCTCATTTCCCACACATTTTTATTATTTTTCCTATGATAAAACAGGAAAATGGATATTATTAATTGATCTATTCTCTATTTTTATTTCAGAGATGATTGTTGTGTTTGACAAAGTAGGAATTAAAAAATAATAAAATAAAAAGAAACTACTTTATCACTTTCTGTTTTCAAGATGCTCTCTATATTCAATGAATCTTTGAAGTATAAAAATATTAAATTTATCATAAGTCAGTACTTTCAGAAGAATTCAATGTGTACTCACTTCTTAAATATTTACAATTGACTTGGGACCAGCAGTTAGCGTAATGGCTATATCGCTGGACTCCCATGTAGTCGACTGCGGTTCGTGTCCTGGACCTGGTGGCTTAAAACTCAAGCCGGGTGCGTGTGCGTGTGTGCCCAAGATCCTGAGAGGAGAATGGAGGAGAAGGGATGGGATTGTGGTGTGGCCATCCCCCCTGGGGGGTGATTTCTCGCTTTCTGTCTCTCTGTCTCTATCTGGCGAGTGCACGCGCCCTATAGGAAAAAAAAAAATTACAATTAACTTCAATCTCAAAAATTCGTTTTTGTAAAAAAAGGGGGGGTGATGGTGGTAAGGGAAAAGAGACACTGGTGACTGAAGTTGGGATACTCAGTTTAAAAATCCTAGCTGCCCTCCACCTATTTCTGTGAGCCTGGGAAAGTTACTTAACTTCTTTGAGCTTAAGTTTCTTTAGAAAGTGGAGAATAATTGAACTTGTTACTTAGGATGACTGAAAAATAAGTTGATTATGTCCATAATCACATTATTAACACATTGCCGGTTCTAGTTGTCTAAAAAGTAAAAAAACGAATGTCAAAGGAAAAACAAAACCAAATATAATTAGAGGCAGAAGTTTCCAAGTGCATATTATGAGGTCCATGTGTGAGCTGTGCGTTTAATTCTGTAGATATTTGTCATTTAGTTCAATAATTGTTTATATCTTTTATTCCTCAATCAGGTTATACATTTCTATAGGGCAACCACTGTCTATAATCCTTGGAATTTGCCACAGAACTTTGCCCATACATTTCACTTTTGAAAACATGCAAGTGTTCTTAGAAAGAACAATTTTTTTTTTTGCACCCAAATATTTATTTATCTATTGGAGAGGGATAGTATGTGCATTTTTATTTTTCACATGACACTTAATCACCTATATCTTTACGGTATATAACATTTCTTTTTCCAGCACAATTACCATGCGTATCAGTCAAGACAGAGCCGTTACTATACACATCAGCAGCAGCAAATAGCTTTTCTTTTTTTTTTTTTTTTTTTTGTCAATTAAGTATGCTTTTTTTTTCTTTGTCTTCCCCTGGTCCCCTTCCTAGAGCACAGATAATTGGTATATATTGAATGAGGACATTCAAAGTCAATCTTTCATAGTCTGACTTGCTTTGCTTAGCATTAAGTCTACTATATTCATCCACTTTGTATCAAATGACAGGGTTCCATTGGTTTTTATGACTGAGTATAGAGTACATATGTCACATTTTTTTCAATCCAGTCATCTATTTTTGGACATTTGGGTTGATTTACTGTCTTAGCAATTATAAATAATGCTGCAATAAACATGGATGTGCAAGTGCTTTTCTGGCTGAGGGTTTTTCTGTCCTTTGGGTAAATACCTAAAAGTGGGGTTACTGGGTCATATGGTAATTCTATTTGTAGGTTTCTAAGGAATTTCCATATAGTTCTCCAAAGTAGTTTTACTAATTTACATTCCCAACAGCAGTGTAGGAGAGTTCCCTTTTTATCATAGCCTTGCCAGCACTTATTTATTTTCTTAATTTTAGCCATTCTTACTGGGGTTAAGTGGTATCTCATTATGGTTTTTGATTTGCATTTCCTTTATGATAAGAGATGTTGATCATGTTTTTATATGCTTTTGGACTCTTTGTATGTCTAGAACAAGTAATTTCTAATCTGAAAATCTGAGGTAATACTAATAAAAATCTTAATAGAATTTTAAATAGAATTTAATGAATTGATTTTAAAATTCATTTGGAAAGGAAAAATTATGAGAATAACCAAGTTTAAACATTTTCTATAAGACATAATAGGGAGAAGTAAGTATCAAAGCATAGTATAGAGTTTGGGTCATCAAAACTTAGTGGTATTGGTGTAAAAAGGGACAGATGGATCTGTAGAAAGAAAGAAAAAGTTCAGAAACAGTCTTAATTTGTGTGATAATTTAACATGTGGTGAAGATAACATTCTAAGTAAGGGAGTGAATAGATTATTCAATATAGAGTGTCAAACAGTTGGCTATCCCTTTAGCAAAATAGAAAATGTTCAACCTGTACCAAATATAAAAATAAATCAGTTAAATATAGCAAGAAACCCCAAAGTATTAGAAGACAACATGTTTGGGAACCAGCAGTTGGCGTAATGGCTATGTTGCTGGACTCCCACGTAGTCGACCTCGGTTCGCGTCCCAGACCCGGTGGCTTAAAACTCATGCCGGGCGCGTGTGCGTGCGTGCCCAAGATCCCGAGAGGAGAATGTAGGAGAAGGGATTGTGGCGTGACCATCCCCCCTGGGGGGTGATTTCTCGCTTTCTGTCTCTATGTCTCTCTCTGTCTGTCTGGCGAGCGCATGCGCCCTGTAGCGAAAATCTCTCCAAAAAAAAAAAAAAAAAAAAGAGAAAAAAAGAAAAAGAAGACAACATGTTTATAATTTGGGGGCAGAAACTTAAAAAAAAAAAAAAAGTAAAAAAGGGGACCAGCAGGTAATGTAGTGGTTAAGTTGCAAATGAGTGACTGTGGTTTGAGTTCCAGACCTGGTGACCTGAAACTCACACTAGTGCATGTGTGTGCATTCCCAAAATTCCAAGAGGAGAATGGAGAAGAAAGAATTGCAACTTGGCCATCTACACTTCGGGTGTGATTTCTCTCTGTCTCTCCAGTGAGCATGTGTGCCTTATAGCAAAATTCTATCCCCCCTCAAAAAAAAAAAAAAAAAAAAGGAAACTAAAAGGAAAATGATAGGTTGGAAAAAAAAAAAAAAAAAAAAGGAAACTAAAAGGTAAATGATAGGTTGGAAGAAAAAGAAAATAATGGCATGATAAAAGATTAATATACAGAATATATAGAAAACTTTTATCTTATAAATCTGTGAGAAAACTGTGCAAATGGGCAGAAGGTAAGAATCAATACTCTAAAGAAAAATGAAGACAAATGGCTAATAAACACATTATTATTATGTTCAACCTAGATAGCAATTAGGGAAGTAGGGATTGAAACAATGTGGCCTGTTCTGCCCATCAGACTTGCAAAAAAATAAGAGTTACAATCTCATGTGTTGGTGAAGTGTGGAAAATCAGTGTGGCAGTATACATTGGTACAGTTCATTGGACATGGATCCAGTGGTATAGCAATTTGGTAGACTACATTAAGAAGTTATATGTCATTTGTATATCAGGTCCTGTTTTAATGTATCTGTGAGAAATTGTATTCTTGGAGGTAGTTACAAGTTGTTTACTGTAAAGTAGATTTACAGTAGTTAAAAAATAAAAATCATCTTGTGGTTGAGAGTTCTGTGACAGAAAACTGAGAGGTACAGAAGCATTGAATAAAAATTATATGCTTTCAGAGTTCTGCAAGGGTCCATATTCAGAAGTACTAACTTTCTGATTAAAGAATACAAGAGATGGAGCTAGGAGATGGCACAGCAGTTACATTGCTGGACTCCTACATGACCGACTATGGTTCAAGTCCTGGACTTGATTGCTTAAAAGTCATGCTGAGTGCATGTGCATGTGTGCCCAAGATCCCAGGAGAATAGAGGAAAAGGGATTGTGGCATGGCCACTCCCCACCCCTGCCTCCAGGGAGGTGGTGATTTCTCACTTGCCCTATCACCGTCTCTCTTTCCAGTGAGCACACTCACCCTAAGGCAAAAACATCTTTTTTAAAAAAGAAAGAATATAAGAGGTTATTAAAAAATCCTATAGGGTTAACTGGTTTTAGTTAATGTCATCATAGTGAAATATCAGACACAATTATTAAGAATATTGCAAAATTAAGGAATAAACTTGATTTTGTTATGGAGTCACTATCAAGGTTTCTTCTGTTTTAGGAAC